CTCATTGTCCCTTGACAGATTCATGGACCTCGTGGGACAGTAGGTTAATCCTCTGCTCCACGACCTCGGCTTGCTCATCGATGGCTTGCCTCACAATGGCCTGCTATCGGGAATAACTTCCCTTGCGAACCGTTGAACTATCATTCGCATCCTCCCGGCATCAGATTGAGTCGCAACCTCAGCTGCCAGTCGATCGACCTTGTCCTTCGTCTGTTGATTCTCGTCGCTCCATTCCCTTCGCATGGAACTCACTTGACCGTTCAGTAACCTGATCTGGTCAGCAAAAATATGGAACGCTTTCGCGACTGAGCCAGAAACCTCACCTCTCTCGAGCATCTCCTGGATGTGCAAATCGAACACCTCCTTTGCCCTAGCGTCACCTGATTCACCGGAAGAATGAGACCTGAGTGCTGGAGGAGTCGATATCTCGATCCTCTCAGGAGCCCCACTAGCTCTAGCATATCTTCTGGGGTCATCCACAGGATTATCACCAACCCCAGATGGCCTGCTAGGGGTAGACCCCCTTCTACGGCTATCGCCGGAACGGGGATCAACATGGGACGCACGAGACTCGGGAGTAGAGTGGATGTGAACATCAGCAGGATCAGGCATCTCCTCATCCTGCGGAGTCGAGTCCATTGGTGAGGGGCTAGCCCTCCTCGCCTTTGACCTATCGGTCTCAATGGCCAGGGGTGACGGTCTCTTCGCAGAAGCACTACGTTCCCTGGCGGTCGAGCCCCATTGAGGTGTGAACTCGTTGCTAGACCTTAGCGTTTCAAGGTCACTGGTATCTCGCCCTAACGGGCTAGCGATCGACGGACGATCCTCGATTCCGAGTGCATCGGCAAGCCGGCCATCTCTTGCACCTCTCCCAACGACATCGGCAACCCGCTCAGTGACCCTCGGCGAACCAGTAACCCGGTTCGAGTTCACGTCTCTCTGATTTAACGGACCTCCAAACGTAATGTTGGGAAAAGGGGGAACATTCGGGGTATCACCAATCGCCGGGGGACCTACCGGTCCCTCACGGTCATGGATGGCCTCCAATCCCCGAAGAACTTCCCGACTGTCCCTGGCTCTCTCTCTCTCGCTTCGGGCATCCCTGTCAACGCGAAGGTCCCTGGCGGCTCCACGAGAGAGGCTCCTGGGCCTCGCAGCATCACGGATCCTAGCATTTCGTCGTGGTTGATCCTCCTCCTCATCACGGCGATCCGCAAATGCGGCATACTCGTCATCATCATCGACCTCAAACTTGGCAGCGGCAGGCCTAGTCCTTACAGCCCCACGGTCGCCTACACTTCGGCGCGAATGGCTCTCCTCTTCATCCGCAAAATTGTAATCTTCGCCATCATAAGACTCAGATTTGGCAGTGATAGGGTTAGGCCTATCGGCATCAGATCCCTGTTTTGAGCTACTGCCCCAACCTGCGGTTGATTTCAACAGATCATCGTACCCGAAGTCCGTGAATTTCCGCTCCTCGTGCTCATCAAACTGACCTGGATTTTGAGAACCAGTGCATCGGCCCGGGATACCTCCCGGAACCAGAACCATAGTCCCTGGTCCCTGCGGCCTATTCTCAAGCTCATCCGAGACCTGCGACTCACCTGGAACAAGAGATCTCGGAGGTCGAACCGGCATGGCCTCCGGGTCATCCGAATGAGGGCGGGCCATGTCCATCGCCATGCTGATGAAGTCAAAATGTCCGCGCCTGTGACCTGATTCAGAGCCACTCCTATCGGAGTAAACCCTTCGCTGCTCGTCATCAGTGGCCTGGCGGAAAATACGATCGTCTCCATCGTCGGCGTACCTGCCACGGCTCCTGGGTGTATCCCTACCGGGATCTTCACCCCTGCGGTCCTGACCTGTCGAACCTGCTTCGAAATCCTCGTAGTCATAGTCCGGTAGGTCCTCACCTGAGCGGAGGCCACCTAGGATGGCCTCCTCATCCACGACGCTCCTTCGAGATCGTGGGGTCGACATAGAGCTTGTAGTTGATGGTCTCAAGCGCGTAGGAAAGTCCTACGGCTGATAACCTGTGATTCGGGCACGAGCCTGTGCCCAGGCAATGGGTAAGTTGGGGTAAACAAGCCACAAAAGAAAGGTTCCCCAAAAGCAAACCAATCCCCGGTCCCAAAGATCAGGGTTTCCCACACACCAGAGAACAACAACCAAAGGAAAACAAACCAAACAAGAAAAGGGTTAACCCGCAACCTTGGTCGACAACAGGCCGCACGACTGGTCCCTACCAACCTGGCGGCGGCCCGAGGTCTCTTTCTCCCCCGAGATGCCGTCGGTCGACGCAGGGGTTCGGCGACGCCCATTCGAGGCGCGACGGAACCCAAAACTTGAGCCAAAACACCACAGGTCGGTCACTAATGCGACGTCCCTGATGATGATATGAACCATGGCTAATCACATGCCAAAAAACATTACCTGCAGTTTACCCCGTTCTGCTTTCCAACGCGTAGCTCTTTGCTGCATTCAAGTGATTTCAACTGAACTGGACAGTCTCAGGCTTTACTGCCTCAAGCCCTAGTGAAGGGAGAACTTCCTCGCCGCCAGAGAAGAAGAAAGTGAACGGCCGCAGCCTGGCGCATGGCTTGCTTGGTCCAGGCGCAGCCGCCGGAAAATCAGAATGCACTGCCAACATCTGCGTGCGGCCCAGCAGCAGATACTTCTGCAGAGCATTGACTACGAGCACGGCCCTCTTGTCTTCTGGTAGGAGACTCTCCACCTATGACGCTGCTACCCACTCCCAGATCAGCTATACATAAAACGTATGAAACGAGTCCACTGAACGAAAGACGGGGCCAGCCACCAGTGCAATTATTAGCAGCGACAGCTGACAGAATCCATTGTGGGCATGTCTTGAAATCAGGGAAGCCGCAAAATGGGCGGCTTCCCTTTGGCTTTCCCTTCAAGCCAGCACTGAAAAAGGTACCTCAAACAAGGCCACACCCAAGCCACACTTTACACGCACAATCCACGCCCGGGCAATCTTAATGCAACTTACACACACACACACACACACACACACGTGGCTCTCAGGGGGTTCCTTTTCTGGTTTGCTGGCATTCCTCGCTTGCAACTCCTCCACTTTCTGGCAAAGGGCATAGGCTTGGCCAAAGCTCCTTTTGGCCTCTGCTTTACCTTGTTTTTTTCTCCGTGCTCCTCCAATCGTTCCGCCCGCCTTGGCCACGTCCGCGAGGCGCGCGTCGAAGATCTGCCGCTGCGCCGCCTTGGCAGCACGGCGGCAGCGGTGGCGCCGCCACGCCGCCTGCGGCTCTGAGGCGGTGTTCAAACGGCAGACGCGCGCACAACGTAGCCCGTGAAAAATAGAAGCTGAAAAAGGTTTGAAGCATTCGATCCGGCGTACAAGGCAGATAAGTGTTCCACCAGTTGCGTCCTTTGCCTTGGGCAAAGCAGCTTCCAAAAAGATTCCCATCTGTCTCCAGGCGACGGCGCGCTGCCCAATGCCGGACCTGGATCTTTGTGGCCGCAATGTCCCGGACTCGTTTTCCTGAGGACGGAGCAGCGTCTCTGGGAACCATGACTCGTTTTCTGCCTGTGGACGTCTGCTGGCATGGGTCACGGGCGGTCACACCCGCTTCGCAGGGCGGGTGCTTTGTTCACAGTGGGTCCAGGAAAGCTGCCCAAAGAGCGCTGCCCAAATGTGTACGGGCAAGTACGATTCCGATCGCCTACGCTTGGGCCCCCAGCCACTACAAAGCTTGAGGTGCGCAAGTAAACAAAACACACACACTGACAAATGTCACAGACACACATCTCACATACCACGAAGCGCAGTACCCACCAGACTGACGCCAGCACCCCTGAAACAAACGCATGCAAAGCAAAACGCCGAAACAATACCCCTCCCCCGCTCAAAGCCCAACATAAGACCAACACAAATCGAAAACAAACCAACAAAGAATGACTTAAATCAAACAAACAAACAACCAAGCATGGAACAAAAGCAACAGCAAAAACATAGCATGCGCACACACACATACACACACACACACACACAAAAACAAAAAACGCAAACGCGAAAAAAGAAGCAAACCATCGCAAACGCCAAGGTGCGCTCCCGGTCCTCGCGCTCCCGGGCCTGGCGCCTGAGGAACTCCGCGCGGCTCTCCGATCGGCGGCCGCGCCCCGCAAGGCTCACCTGGCGAGTTGAGCACGGCTCAGATTCTCTGCTGATAGGAACATGGAGGAACCCTTAACTAGACTCCGATGGGCTTTTGGAGATGTTTTGGCTGGTTGGGGACATACTGGCATGGACAAAATCCACAGTGAAGGCAACCAGTTGGGATGGTCCATCCACAGCGTGTCTCGTTCCATTCTATCGTTTGGGCATGGAACGGTGGAGGCAGAACAAGCTGGTTACAATGAGTTTGACGAGCTTGGAAACTCACAGGCCATTAATTGGGGGCCTGCCCATGTCTACAACCGCCCGTGTCAAAACCAGTTGGGCCCGCCATCAGTGTCTGGTACGGTGTCCTTTCACATTAAACGATGGTGCGTCCTTAGTACACCCTTCCATCTCGGCCACCGTGCCCTGCCAGCTTCCCCTGATTTGGCGACTTGGATTCCTTGTTGAAGGCTCCAATCCCCAAACCACAAATCCCAACTGCGCCTTTGGCTCTGAGATGCTCCCGTCGAACATGCCGCTCTCAGCGAGATATGCAGTCGAGGCCGGGAAAGACCTGCTTGTTTGTGGCTGAGGCGTCCGAGCGCCCGGGGAAGGAAACATCCTGTGCCTGCATTTTGCCCCCGTGCGCCGGAACAAGGCTTGAACCGACTTGTTTGTCGCACATCATACCAACGTCCAGCTTACCATTGGCTGATTTTGTGTCTGATGTTATCGAACCCTTGACGCTGCGGGCAAAATGACTTATACACACACACACCAAATCATGAAGGCCTTGCTGTCAAAAGGCAATGAGCCGCACAAGCTCTGCCCTTGGGAGGTGAATGCCACGTAAGTGGCCCACGGATTGAGGCGCCTCGCCATCGCCTGCGAAGCCGAGTTCCATTTTCAGTGTGCAAATCGCAAGGCCAACCGTGTGGGCAAAAGAAGTGCAAACAGCGCAGGAGTCGAGATTGCAAATTCCTGCCACAATAGAAAGTTATCCCCAAGGCTGTTCAACTGCTCCCAAACCTTTACCCCGCCCTCCCCTCCCCAACCCCTGCTTCTTTGCTTCTCTAACCAAACAGGCTTTATTTTGCCATCTTGAGGCCAATGTATTTGTGGATTATCGGTGGCAATAACCCAACTCACTTGCCTGGGCCTCAGGAGTCAGTGCTGGAGCCTCAAGCCAATGTCGAATCTGGTCACCGAGTCATGTGCGCACACTACTTTGACATGTGTGGCATCCCCACCCCGAAGCCCATTGTTCCAGCCTCCCTCTCAGGCTCATCCTGGCACTCACAACTCCCCGTCCCAAAACACCTTGCTTTAGGAGTCAATGGGCTGCAACAGGTTCTGGATTACAAAGACTCTCATTAAACAAAGTCCTGATGGATCTCGGAATGCAAAAAAGGAGAATGGCTTTCTGAGCGCAGACTGACTGAACGTGCCGAACCTCGTCATCATCTGCTGAGTCCTGAGAGCTCACTCAGGGTCCGTGACTTGCTCCAGCGAGTCTGCCGGCCTCCTCATCACCAGGCCCTGGGACAGGGCTCGCTTTTTTTGCAGTCCTGTTGACTCACAAAAGAGCCTGGGAAGCAAGCGGCTGGGACCCCTGCCTTCGCCAACCAGCTGCTCCAACCAAGCTAACCTCGGGCTTTCACCCACCATTCGACACGGAGTTGGCCGCAACGTCCCCGAAATCCGAAATCGGCCTGGCCCAAGCCTTTGGGCCGGGCATTGCAGAGGCGACCTCCTCGCCAGTCACCAGCATTTCAGGATCCTCCGGCAGCTCCCCTGCGACTTGGCCTCACCGCCCGTAGAACCCTCAGAGCCTATCTGCAAAGAAATGGGTGCTTGCAAATCCTGCAAAAACGCCTGTGCAAAGGACCACTCGAAGGCCAACGCAACGCTCAAATGGCTCGAGTCAGGAGGGGCTCTCGACCTACCTCTGAGTGAGTGGAATTTGGTCCTGGAGGTTGGGGTGTCCTGAGGCCCCGGCGCCAGAAGGCTTCTCCCTCCGGGCCCGTGAGGGAGATAGTGCGGTCCATGAAGTACCTGCCGCGCAAACCAGGAAACTCCATGGTGTCGCTGGGCTTCTGAGCTTCTTTGTCTTTGGGGTCACTTAACTTTAATCCCACCTCACCCTGCCCAGCGCCTCACTTCCTGGACCGAGAAGGACGATCGGCCCTGCGAGACCTGGCGCGCCGCCATGTCCAGCAGGCAGGTTCTCAGGAATCCTCGGCAGCGGCGATCAGATTTTCATTACGGACACATTGGCGCTCAAGCGCCTCAAAGTTTTAGGGAAAGCAGGGTTGCGCCCCTTAAAGCCGTTCACTTGGAGATGTCGTTAGCTTTGGCAGCTTTGACCCACATCTACCTGACCAGCTGCTTGACCCCGCTGTCTCCCGTTCGGGGCTGCGCCATGCCACCGAGGCTCGGAAGCCCGTAATCGCCTCCTCCTGTGCCCGCGTCAGCGCGTGGGAGCGCATCGTGCCCCTGGCGCGCAGGATCTCCTTGCACGGCCATCAGCACAAAGCGAGCCCCGAAAAGATTGCTTGAACAGGGGGTCTTATGCATCTGGGCTTGGAGGGGGGAAGCATTGCAACATCGTGCAACATTGGCATGTTGAACAACCCCGGCTTCAACTCGTGCCAAGCCCTAGGGGGCCTGAGCCTTTGATATTCAAGCCGTCGGGCAGCCGGGCCGTCCTCCATGCCCCGCCAGAACTGCAGAAAGCCGACCACGCCATCCAGGTCTGGCTGCATGTAGGTCTGCCTCTGGCGCAGGCTGTCGTGCTGCGGCTCGAATCGCGGAAGCTGTGTCGGGCCACTAAGCTTCCAATATGTCCAACAAGGAATGTTCAAGGTGCTCGCTCAGGATATAGCTTCGGATCAATGAATCAATGGGGGTAAAAGAGCAAGCAGGGGTCCTTCAACCTACCTCAAAATGTGTATACCACCCTAGGGTTTTCAGCACATTTTAAAAGCGCCCCCCAAATCTAACATAAAAGTTCATACATAAATTCTTGAAATTCCTATCCGCTCACCAAATGCTTTGAGTTATCCATTTTGATGAATAACTTAAACCATTTCAAACATCTTTAACCTCATTATTTTCTATATTTTCTTTGTGCCTGTAAGTCCGTTCGTGCTTTGGTTTATGTGTTTTTTGACATCGCAATTACATATATCGCAATGATATATTACTTGTTGTTTCCTTCTGCTCTTTTCACGACACTTATCACACATCTTATAATTTTCCGTGAATAAATCCACATTCTTATCTCTTTGACAACCGGAACAATATTTCTTCTCCATAACCTCTATTATACTATACCCCCCCTACACTTTTAAGTCCATTTAAAAACAGCATACCATTTCAACCATTCAAATCCAACATTCCAACCAACATTCCAAAGCTACCTACCATTTCAACCATATTTTTCCTTACTCAGATAGGTTGAAGGTCCCTTATTCAAAAACCCCCAACAACAAAGAACATAACCAAAAACCAAACAAGGAACAGAACACAGAACAAAACAAAACAACCAACCAACGAAACATTCCAAAGAACTTTCCAAAGAACCTAAACATAAATCTTACAATGTTTTTATTGTAAGGTTTATGGGTTAATCTTCTTCAAAAGGTGATATTCTAAACACAGATGTTTCCAAAAACTCTTGTCGTCATACATATATTTTATAACTTTGTTAAAGTCGGCTATTGTTCTGTCTAAGTTGAATTTCTCCAATTTAATAATTTCAATTACCATATCTACATCATTATTACCAATTTTCCGATAAATTTGTTTTAGACAGTCTATTCTTCTTATTGAGAAGTTAAATTCATTTTTAATACATTCTTTTCAGGAAATAAATGACATTTAACGAACAAAAATGTCAATGCATCAATTGCTTTACATTTGTTTTTTCTTTCAACAATTTCAGGTAGTCTCCTCAGGCGCTGGCAGTCTTCGCATTCTTGATAACTAAACTTACATACATCATTGATAATATTTTGAGGTAAATTTAATTTACATAATTCAACCTTCTTATCTTCTAATTTACAAGGGCAGTTTATGATTTTAGTTTTCATAATTTTATACATATCATTTACGTAAATATTATTCAAGAATTCGTTAGTAATATTTTCCTGCTCATTTTCACTGAACATGTTTCACTAATATATATAGGCAATTTGTCTTTAAACCCTTTTTAGTCTAAAACTAAAATTTTTGGATAATCACTAACCGAGTGATATTTTTGACCGAGTTTTTCATCTATCCTTTCCACTGTATGGACTGATTTTAACCAGTGGCTCGTTCGTTCTTTTTCACTAATTCCTTTTTTCCTCATAATCTTAACCTTATCACCAATATCCAAATCAGGATAAACACGGGTTTTTCTGGCATTCATTGATATGTTCAATTTAACTTCAAGCTCATTCTTCTTCTTCCTTGCTTCTAACGGTGTCATTTTTGTAACGGAACTTACCAATTTATTATTATAAGTTAATAAGATTTCCAATATGTAGTCAGTCCATTGAATATTATTTTTACCTTTCTTCTCATCGGCATCAACTCTTTTGAAAAGCATATCTTTAAATGTCCTTATGAAACGTTCTCCGAAAGCAGGGTGTCCCCGTGTAGTGTGTAATTCAATTTTCTCTTCCTTCAAATAATCTGTAATGGTAGAACTAAACAAACTGCCTTCTTCGTCGCTGTATATTAATTTAGATTTGCCATCCATCTTTTTTAATCCTTCCATTATTCCAGCTAATACATCAGCAGGTTGCTTACTTTTAATAGGTATAACAGTAGCATATTTACTGAATATATCAACTAATATTAATCCAACTCTAAACTTTTGATTATCCAAATCATTTTTTGAAATGAAAAACAAATCCAACTGGAATTCCCAGAAGGCATGAGGAGCAACAAAACTATTTTGTCCTCTTGGTTTTCTTTTCTCTTCAATATTATTTTTAAAGAATTCATTTACATCACTCATAGTAATTGTTTTGTCCTTCCTTCTTGCATCTTGTAAAGTTACAGCTTTACTACCATAACCGCTTTTATCATAATAAATATCACTAATTATTTTTTGTTTATCCATATAATAAATTAAGATTTATTATATTGATAATATAATTTATAATTTAAGTTCAGGAAAAATAAGTTAATTGATGACTATTTAATGCTTGATACATCTTGCTCCTTTCAAACATCATTTTAAAAAATATATTAATGTCTCTCACTGTATTTTTAACATTAAACTTTTTACGTTCAATATATGTTTTTATATCTTCTTTTAAATCAAAGCCTGTCCTTCTATGATATAATAGCATCCATAATACACTGTTAATCATCTCATACTTTTTCTTACTCATTTTAAGAAATGCTCTAACATAATCATAAGGTGGTCTTTTATAAACAGTTAGAAATATTATAATGTCGTCTTCAACATTTGTTTTAAGAAACCTTTTATGGTTCAAATGACATTTGACTAATTCTTGATAAAACCTCCAATTTTTACAAATTTTACATTTTTCTTCGTCCAAAGCATAATCAATAATATTATTAACTATTCCATTAGGTAAATTTAATTTGTATAGTTCCATATTCTCTTTTTTGAAATGGCAACAGTCATAGCATTTCTTATTAATATAATTATTTACTTCTTGTTCCTTCATTACTTTCTACTATATATAGGTATTATGTCTTTAAGCCCTTTTTAGTCTAAAACTAAGATTTTAAAATAAAAATCTGAAATTCTTAATGCGCTGATACATTACAGTAAAAGCAGTAGGCAATACAATTATCTATTTCATGGCTTGTATCATTACAAAGCCTTTGTGCGGTAAAGTTGCTACATAATTTGCCCTGCTTGATTTCAAAATTAAATGGAGTATTACACTTCTGGCATCTGTTCTTGAAATTATCCAAGCACCATTCGGCAGTTATGTATTCCTCTTCATTGATTTCTCTCTTTGCTTTCCTATCCTGTATTTTATAATTTTCTACTTTATTCTTAAAATATCTCATTATCATATTTGTATTCAATTGCTTTTCAAAGTCATCGTTCTTGAAAAATCTGACTTTTCTGAAATCAACGCACCTTGTAATAGAAGTCCAAAGCCACTCACGATTTACAAATGGTAAATTCCATTCATGAATTGGCATTCTTTCTTTCACACTTGCACCCTGTGAAGAATGGCATGTTGCACAATATGAGTAAATGAAATTAGCATCTACAATAGGTTCAAACAACATAAATTTATCTTCTTCCCTTGCTATATTTTGTAATGTGATTTGTTTTCCTAATTCATCATCTTGTATATGTGTAATCCTGTATCTCAAATTTACATTAACCCTCGGCTGTTGTATCCATTTTCTGGCAATCAGAATATCACCTACTACATATTTATCTTTTATGTTTAATCTGTCTCTGATTTCACTTGCTACATTTCTACACCTAATATTAGTATAAGCGATGTTATGCTCTGATGCCATAATATCATTAGTTATTTCAAAATATTTAGGTATTATTTCATTGATAGGCAGTTTCTTTTCCCAGAAGACATCATACATATCATTAATTATCTTCCTGTTTCTTTCTCCTTCTTCGCTATCTTTTGCTCCTACTCTCTTACATACTGTTAAAAAGATGTTGTATTTAAAAATTGTATCTAAGCAATTATCCATATATGTCGCTGGGTCTTGGCAGTTGGTCATTGCTTCCAGCCCTTGCAATTGCTTGACGTCTCCCGTAGCAATTACAGTTTTATCGGGATTATTTTGAATAAATGACCTTACTTTATTAAGAACATACAAATTTGACATATATATCTCGTCAAATACAATCACATCATAAGGTGAGTAATCATACTGTGGCAATTTCTCTCCGACATCTTCATGAACGGCAATGCTAAAAAACTTATTGTAAGTGGTGGCTTCTACTTCTTTTTCTTGTAACAGCCGGTTAGTTGGAACTACAAATAAAACATTCTTATTCATCTTTTGAAAGTATTCGCCAATATAACTTTTGCCTGTGCCCGGAAATTTGCATTTTATAATCACTGGGTTTTGTTTAATAATCTTCTTACATCTTTCTTCTGTATTCCATTCATCTTGAATATGAATATTGAAATTTCTGATTTTGGGAATTTCTGGAACTTCATTATATTTATATGTATATGCGTTGGTGGGCAGTTGAAGATGTTTTTATCTTCTACCCTCCAATCGCCTATCTCATTACCACATTTCAGCAGTCCATTGCTTCTTCCAAATAATTGAAAACGAAAAACTTTATCTAAATCATCTTCATGAATAGTGAAGGCATCAGTTTTAACACTATACACCTTGATATTATTATCAGTCATTGTTTTGTAGGCTTCATACATTTTGAAATTATGATATTGTAATAGCAATTCTTTTATCGGCAGAAATCCGTTAGTTAAAACGTTTTTGTCAGCAACATTCAACACAGTATGTTTCACCAACAGGAGATTCTTCTAATTGAGAGCTATCTTCATCTACTTCTACCAATTCCAATTGGCACTTGCTGATAGTGTAAATCTTGCCACCATATAGGCTATGGTAGTAACAGGCTTCTTTCAATGAACTAAATACACTGCTTTTTTGCGAAGTGTTATGCGATTTTTCAAGCATACCAGCGCTAATGTTAAATATTTTCTTATGGAGTTGCTTATTCAGGTCTTCATTATCAGACAGTTTTGTATCATACAGTTCATCAAGTATTTTTTGTAATTTACTTT